TAACTTCTATATGAGATTTAGTAAAATAATTGGTAACCAATTTTGGTAAGTTGAGAGTTTGGTTGAAGAACATACATATCACAGGACTGCTAACAATAGGAGTGTATAGACCAAGTGGCTTTCCAAAAGGTTTGCCAACACTTTGAGACATACTCCCAATATGAAACCAGCAGGCCTCATAGCTGAAGCAATTGACAATAGGGTAGTGAAACTATTCGATTACCAATCATATAGGGCCAAAAGGAAAGCAATGAAGTTGCTTCAAGGGGCTGGTATTGAGCAATTCTCTCAGTTGAGATCTTATGGACAAGAGATATTGAAATCATACCCTAATAATACTGTTGTAATTCAATGTGGTTATAATAATGGCAACCATGTGTTTGAAAGAATGTATGTGTGTTTAGAAGCTTGCAAGGTAGCTTTTGCAAAGATATGTAGGCCACTAATTGGATTAGATGCATGCTTATTAAAAGGAGATTATGGTGGTCAGTTAATGTCAGCAATAGAGAGGGATGGAAATAGCCAAAATTTTCCAATAGCATATGTTGTAGTAGAAGTTGAAACAAGGGATTTATGGAAGTGGTTTTTAGACCTTCTTCTGCATGATCTGGTGTATGTCAAGCAATATATATGAGTTTCAAGCAAATTATAAGTGTGGTAATTACAAGGCATTATAATTGTTCTGTCAAATTACAGTTCACATGTCAAATTACAAGGCAATGGGTTTTGTTCTGTCAAATTACAGGTCACATGTTAAATTACGTGTCCACTATCAAATAACAAGGCATTGTAATTGTTTTGTCAAATTACAGGTCCATTATTAGTTCATTACAGGTCCAAAAACATGAATACCATAAGCAATTTATAGCAATTAGGTCATGACAAGTCATTGTTTTGTCACATGTCAAATTTGTTCTGTCAAATTACAAATCTAAAAACATGAATACCATAAGCAATTTTATAAGATTTAGGTCATTACAATTCCATTATTCCACTATTAAAGTATAAGAAATTTTATAACATTAACTTTTAACCATTAACACAATAACATGAATATTATAACATTAACTTTCAACCATTAACTTTCAACCATTACATCAATGTTATGTCAAATTACATATAACTTTACCAATACACCATAACATCAACCATTACGCATTAGTCAACATACAAACCTAATCAACTATAACCTATTTCGTCATTGTTGTTACAACAAATGCAATGAACACTACAAATAAAAAAATTCAGGTAATATTCAACTGTTTCGTCAGGATTTTCACCTTCAACTTCAATTCGTCCTCCTTGGCTTTGTAGGTGTTAACCATCTCACTTTCCATATTCAAGTTCTTTAGCAGTGAAGAAATTATCTGTTTTTTCCTAGGATCCATTTCTTCATCCAACCAAGCAAAGTGAGATCATTTTTGTATCCTTGAATCTTATACATCCCACAACCATAGAAACAACGACTTGGGTTCGAATTCGTCCATGTTGTCATCAATGAAGCGTCAAGACCACACTTGCATACATACCTTTAATGACTTGAGGACCTGCTTCCATAGCTACAACCGGACTACTGAGACATTTAATTGAAGAATTTGATGGAAACTTGAAGAAACTGGGTGAGAAGAAGTCGAACAGTGATTGGGAGGAAAAAGAAGACGAAAAACAATTCAAAGGGTTTGATGGAAACTTTAATCTGATTTAATTTTAATTTCATATTTAATAATTTATAAACAATTATATTCTAATTTATATGTAATTAAAAAACATGACATGGAAATCATTTGATGACATGTGAAACATTTGGTGACATGGAAAAAATATCGGATTCCCACCTCATTAAAAAACATGACACATCATCAGAATTGTATGGGGGACCAAGTAAATCCAAAATGGTTCTAACTTAAGTGACCAAATTCGCAGGTTTTGTAATAGGGGGTCAATTATTTAACTTGCTCAAACTAGAGGGACCAAAAGTGCATTTAAGCCTATAATATAATACATATTAAAGATTAAATAAATAAATCAACTACAGGGGGTTTTAATCCTATTGGTGCCCCCATACAAATCGTAGAGGGGATTTTAATCCTATTGGCGCCCCCATATAAATTATAAAGGAGGCTTTAATTCTATCGGTGTCCCCCTATTGGAACTCCCTTATAAATTTAACATGAGGCTTTAATCCTATTGGCGCCTGTTATACCCCAAATTTGTCCTACTTGTATACAACCTTCGTTTTGTACATCAATGTGCTAATCCCTATTCAGAAAATTAAAAAAAAGATATGTTGCTCTTGCTCAGAGTGTTACCAGGTTGAACCCATTTTTTCAAACAAGCAGTTAAGACATGTGTATTTGTGGTAGGATTTGGGTTCAATAGTTTCGACCTGACTTACCTGTCTGGAAAAGGTTTATTTCAAGATCAAAGGTCAGGGTGCATTGTTTCGTTGGTGGCCAAGGTTTAATTCATTCAGACTGCAGAATTGATTCGTGTTTGACTTCGATGCCTCATTTCTAAATAAGAATTCAGAGAAGTTGAAATTGGTTCATGGTATTTTCGAATTAAACATTTGAAATTCAAGCATGGAAAAGCATTTCCATCTATAACACCCACAGTGGATTTGACTGGCATGGAAAATGCCTCAGAAAAGAAATTACCTATCTATAGTAAAATAGCTGAAGCAAGGTTGGCAGAGAGCATTCCCATGTTGTATGAAATTCTCATGAAAGACAAATCAGCAATGGATGATGAGCAACGTCGAGAGCATGAAGAAATTTGTCAAAGTATCAAGGAGAAGTACTTCAAGAGAAGTTAGGTGTATTATTATTATTATTATTATTATTATTATTATTATTATTATTGTTGTTGTTGTTGTTGTTGTTGTTGCTTAGGTTTGAATATGCATTTCATATTATTGTAATTTTGTTCTAAATGAATGTTATAAAAAAACTAGCCGTTATAAAACTAGCCGTTGTAAAACTAGCAGTTATAAAACTAGCCGTTATAAAACTAGTCGTTGTAAAACTAGCCGTTATAAAACTAGCGGTTATAAAAAACTAGTCGTTATAAAACTAGTCGTTGTAAAACTAGTCGTTATTAAAAACTAGTCGTTGTAAAAAAAATAGCATATATATATATATATATATATATATATATATATATATATATATATATATATATATATATATATATATATATATATATATATATATATATATATATATATATATATATATATATATATATATATATATATATATATATATATATATATATATATATATATATATATATATACCTCACATGTTCTCCCATTATATTATTATTATCATATCTTCCATGGATCCAAATGTTGAATGGGATAAAATTTGGAATGAAGACGTAGATGATTGTCCTAACGACAACAGTGAGTAAGATGTGATAAGGTTAGTACGAGAGGCGCAAGAACAAGCCAACAACACAAGTAAGCATAGAAAAAGAAGAACGATGATAGATCGAAGTCGTGAAGAAGGGCATAATCGATCGTTCAATGACTACTCTAAAAATCCTGTATACACAGAGGAACAATTCAGGCAAAGGTTCCGTATGCGAAGACATGTGTTCCTTCACATTATTGAAGCTCTTGGAAATCATGACGAGTACTTTCAAAGAAGGATTAATGCAGTGGGTAGAATGGGTCTTTCACCATTGCAGAAGTGCACCGCTGCTCTTCATATTCTAGCATATGGATCATCAGCCGACAGCGCGGATGACTATGTTCGAATTGGAGAAATCACGACATGAAAGTGCTTAGACAGGTTTGTAATAGGCATGTGCACACTATTTGGTGCTCAATACATGAGAAGTCCAAACAATGAAGACATTGCACACCTACTACAAATTAACGCTGCACGCGGCTTTCCAGGTATGTTGGGTTCAATTGATTGAATGCATTGGGAATGGAAAAATTGTCATGTCGCATGGAAAGGTAAATTTTCTATAGGTGATCATGGTAAACTCACAATTATGCTTGAAGTTGTGGCATCTCAAGACTTGTGGATTTGGCATGCATATTTTGGAACTGCAGGTTCTAACAATGACATTAATGTGTTAAACACGTCAGATGTATTTAATGATGTTTTGAATGGAAAAGCTCCAACAGTGCAATACTCGGTGAATCGAACAACATATCATATGGGGTACTACCTAGCGGATGGCATTTATCCTGAGTGGGCAACATTTGTCAAGACCATTCCTATGTCGCAAGGAGAAAAGAGAAAGTTATTTGACCAATGACAAGAATCAGCACGTAAAGATGTTGGACGTGCATTTGGAATGCTCCAAGCCCGATTCGCTATTGTATGTGGTCCAGCGCGTGCTTGGCACGTGAATACAATGAAACACATAATGTTAGCATGTATCATATTGCATAACATGATTGTCGAAGATGAGCGAGACACATATGCTGGTAATTTCGATTACGACCACGTTGATAATAATTTCTCCACAACTGAAGTCTCTAATGGTCTTGATCCAAATTTGACAACATTGTTTGAAAGGATAGCACATGTTCATCAAAGGCAAAATCATCGTCAACTTCAAGTAGACTTAGTGGAGCATATTTAAGAGAGATTTGGTCATGAGAATAATGAAAGTTAGTTTTTGTCTTATTTTGTATTTCTGTTAAAATGTAATTTGTTGTTTATTGTCATGTATTATTTTATATTCCTATGAAAATGTAATTTTTTTTGATGTATTATTGTTGTTAATTTTATATCATTTTTAATTTTATAATAAAATACAATTTTTATTATTTACAACTTTTTTGGGCAAAATTTATTAAAGTACTTTTCGCAACTTTTATAATTAATATATATTTTAAAAAATAATGAATATTTTATGTATTTTATTTAAAGTAATTAAATTAATTGTAACTTCAATAAAAAAAATAATTACAATTAAAAAATATAAAATATAGGGTCAAGTTTTAGTTTTTTATAAGCAACTAAAATATAAGATATATGGGTCTTTCACCATTGCAGAAGTGCACCGCTGCTCTTCATATTCTAGCATATGGATCATCAGCCGACAGTGTGGATGACTATGTTCGAATTGGAGAAAGCACGACATTAAAGTGCTTAGACAGGTTTGTAATAGGCGTGTGCACACTATTTGGTGCTCAATACATAAGAAGTCCAAACAATGAAGACATTGCACACCTACTACAAATTAACACTGCACGCGGCTTTCCAGGTATGTTAGGTTCAATTGATTGAATGCATTGGGAATGGAAAAATTGTCATGTCGCATGGAAAGGTAAATTTTCTAGAGGTGATCATGGTAAACTCACAATTATGCTTGAAGTTGTGGCATCTCAAGACTTGTGGATTTTGCATGCATATTTTGGAACTGCAGGTTCTAACAATGACATTAATGTGTTAAACAAGTCAGATGTATTTAATGATGTTGTGAATGGAAAAGCTCCTGCAGTGTAATACTCGGTGAATCGAACAACATATCATATGGGGTACTACCTAGTGGATGGTATTTATCTTGAGTGGGCAACATTTGTCAAGACCATCTGATCGCGACTTTCTATGTCTAATACAACTAACTGCAAGTGCACATTCTATCGCGTAGTAATAAAAGATATCGATCCCACAGGGACTCGTAATCAAACTAGTGTTCTCGGGAGTTACTATGTTTAGCTAGGTAGAATATGTTTTAAGGGAATAAGATTGTCACTAAGAGGGGAAACTAAGGTTACTATTAAGATTTTAATTAATTGAATCGATACGTAGTAGTTATGTTCTTCAGGGATTTGATAAATTACTGGTGTATGAAATAGTTTTCGCAGTTTACTTAAGCAGAAAGTGGAGATTTGAAGACTCTCGTCTCACGATGGTTATTGACGCTAATCATAATCCTAAGGGCCTAACGTACACTTTCGTGTTCCGTTCGGGGTTAAAATTACTTTTTGGAAATCTTTAAGTTCTAATTAGTTTTAAAGTGCTTTCGCTGTTATTAAAACAAATGCCTAGTGTTTACTATCTGACCTTACCGCAGCTTTCGCTTGTTGGTTCGTATCTTAATTAATTTCCCACTTTCGTGGCAAAACTACTTTAAAACAAGTTCTCGCTTTCGCGACGAAGTTTATTTCGTAAATCAATTTTTAAACACTTAGACCATAAGTTATTTTTGTGAAAAGAAAGTTTTCAAACAAGCGTTATCAAATCCCATCCGAATTATTACTACATATCGATTACCTAAGTTTAGCTAGACATGGAATTTGGAAAAACAAAACATAAATAATAATAATAAATAATAAATTGCATTATGATAAAATAAGAGTCGATCAAAATGAAAACCTGTAAATAATGCCAATTGGCCTTTGGGCAGATCCTCCACAGATGTTGGCAGGATTCTGTCTTTAGTTCCAATTCGATCGTACAGTGCAGTAACAAATACAGAAGAGCGGAAATGGGAATGAGTAGAATGGAAAGGGAAATAAAGGAAAGGGATACAATTGAAACTGGAGAAATGGATACAAATAATAAAAAGGCTGAAATTAAATTTGCTCTTGAAAATAAATTTGGGCAGCACTTCGTGGTATGAATGCAGCTCTCTTTTTGAAGTCCCCTGCTTCCCTTTTAATAGAAGTGGGATTCCAACGGTTACCTCTGAGGATGATGGACCTTGAGGCAGATAATTTAGGGAGTAATGGACCATTAAATGGGAATTGGAACTGCTCTTTTGACGTGTAATCTGAGTGGGGCGTTTTTGCCTGCATGACGGTCGTCACAAGGTGTGACGGTCGTCACCCGTGTGACGGTCGTCATGCATCTGTGACGGTCGTCACATCAGCAAAAACTGTCTGCTGCGCTTTTCATTGTGTTTTCACTCCTTTTTCGTCCATATTTCATCTGGGATTGCTTCTTTTCTTCATGTTGCCTTGTTTAGACGTGATCGTTGAATACCTGCAAAAACATCAGACAAATACATGGAAATAACCCGAAATCGGATCGAAAGCGGTTAGCTTTTAGTCGAATTATGCATGAAAATATCTATATGATTTCGTGTTATAAAACTCCCCTAAGCTTGAATCTTTGCTTGTCCTCAAGTAAAACGTGAAAAAGTCGGCAAGCACGAGGCTGCTTCTTCGTTCGCGGAGTTTGAAAAACCGGGATTCTTGGTAGGAACAAGACGAGTATCGCGGCGACACTGGACTACAAGTCTCCGGAGGTCTCCCTTTTATTGCAAATCGGTCTCAGTCATGCTACCGTATCTTGGTGTCAAGGTTCTCGTGGCAAGTTCACCCTGTTTGTTCTAGCGCAATCACATTAAGCCCGTTGTCCGCACACTCTCATGGCAAGTCGACCTGTTAGTGAATATGATCTCGTTTTTGTTTTTGATCTTCTTTGTTGATCATAATTTGGTGTCATTGATTTTTCAATGAGATTTTCGTGCCGTTGGGCTAAATGCTCGGGTGAGGAGCACCTAACTTAGAAGGAAACGAATCTTATATTCTTGGGCTTTTTAGCTCTCTTTTCATGATTTTTCATCTTTTTGGAGATCATACACTTATTTGCATCGGTCGCTTGCTTAGAAGTGTTTTTAGGATGGTGCTGACTGCTAGTATAAACTACTTGGGGTTGAGTTTGCGTAGACACTTGAGACTTTGGTACATGTAGGTGGTGAAACTGACTCGCATAAACTAGAGATCTAAGGTGTCTGGACGATACTGGTTTTGTTAGAACTGTCGTTTCCTCGGAGTTTCAAAACTCGGTTTGAACTCAGGTGCATTCTCGTGATGCTTTTGCTTTTGAGGAACAAGTGAAAGTTTTTGTCTACGTCGAAAAATGTGGGGATTGTTTGCGTAACGTGAAAAATATATAGATGCGCTTTATTTGCTAGAAATAGAAAGTGTAAAGTAGAACTTACTAAAATTCAAAAAATTCAAAAGTGCAGTGAAATGGAAATACAGTAAATAAGGGAAGTTCTGAATACAGTGGAAATAAGGCTCCGCTCCCACACTATCTCGATCAGTGTCCTCACTGATTCTTGAAGCATGCGAGAGGGAGATACAACTGAAAATGAAAATACATAGAACAGAAATATAGTAAACAATAAAGGAAAAAAAATGAAAATCTAGTCTCGGGGCCTGTCACGTCCACGCTGGCGTCCTCTGGCTCTAGCAAGGGCGACTCTATCCTCATATCTCATGGCTCCGGTATGGTAGACCGTGTCGCGGAGGCCTTCGACCTGCAGGGTCAGATTCGCTAGACTCTCAGTAATCGTAGCTTGATCGGTGTGAAGTTGTTGCATTTGAGTCCGGTGCCAAGCTTCGAACTGGTCGGCTCGCTGGTTCTGCTGCTGCAGCATCGTGAGTATCTGTGCCTGCTGGTCTAGGGAGCGACGGAGGTCCTCTTCAGTGTAGTCGGGCACGGGATGGTGACGGCGGCGGCGGGATGATGTACCTACTGGTGGAGGAGGCTGCGATGCCTCTGGCTGCTCGGACCTGTCCAACTCAGCTTGGATTTCATCTTCGGAATCATGAGTGGGGTCCTGAGTAGGAACAGCGGCAGCAGGAGGGGCAGTGAGGTCGAACAACCAGTTGGTACAGTCCTCAGGATGGATGCGGGTGCGGGACGGGAGGATGATGCTTCTGACGGTCTTGCCACGCACAACCGGATGATATTTCCCGTCAGCTCGGGAGTGGATGAGATGGGAGGCCCTGCAGTGGTCGGTGTCAAGGAACACCGAGGGGATGGACTGGAGGTGCTGAAGGCGGTCGCCAAGGTTCAGCCCAAGTGCAATCGCCGTGACAATCCCGCCAAAGTAGAATGGCTTCGAGCCACGGTTGCAGTTGGCCTGAATGTGGGCCAGCAGGAACGGGGCAGCGTTGACCGGTTTGTTGTTGAAGACGCAATGCAGAAAGAAGAGCTCCTTGGAGTTCACTTTATGGTTGCTGTCTCTGGCGAAGATGATGTTGCTCAACACCCTGTGAAAGTACCTGATGTCGGGGTTATGGATGTGAGTGGCGTGTAGGGAGTCCCAACCATCGGCGTTGAGGCCGGTCAACTGATACCACAGCGCGAAGGCGTCGTGCTAGAACTGATCAGTGATGCGGCGATGAGTGTTGTCGCCGCGGGGAAACTGTAGGATGCCGGCAATCTGGTTTTGGTGCAGCTGATAGTTAACACCAAACATCCGGAAACAAGCGGCGCCTGAGTGTTGGTTGAGTTCGCCGCTGCTGGTGATGTAGGAGAACAAACTCAAGAACTCCAGGGTGAGCTGTTCGTAGGTCGGCTGGGGGTTGGAGCAGAGGTTCCAGATGCCTGCTCGTTGAAGCATCCATGTTACACCTTCGAGGAGTCCGAGCTCCGTAAGTGATGGAAGGTGCGGGTAGTGAGTTGGCTGGAGAGACCTCTGATGAAATGCATTGTACTGTGCTCGTTGTCTCTCACCTAACTCGCCCTCAGGGAAGGAAATGTTGTTGATGTCTGCGTTTCCGGCCATTGTTGAAGATGGAGAGGTTTCGGAGGTTTTGGGGTTTTTTGGCAGAGATGGAAATGTGACAGAACGGTGGTTTGGAGGTTGAATTTGGAGTTGGGGTTTATAGTTTAGATGGAGATGACGAAGATCGTAGTGGGGTATGAATGTTGGAAGTTTGAAAGTGATAATGGGGGAAGTGGAAGGTTACACGACCTCTGTTATACCAGATTGCAGTTCTGGGCTGCGTGACGGTCGTCACAAGGGTGTGACGGTCGTCATCTGTGTGACGCTCGTCATGGGACTGTGACGGTCGTCACAGCAGCAAAATCTGCAGAACGCAGAATTTTGCTCTGAGGGCGTATTCGGGGTGATTTTAAAGCGTAGTATTGCTACGGTGATGTACTATAACAGCCAATAATCAATAAATAATACGAAGACAGAATAATTGAACACAACTAGAATTGAAATAGCATAAAATGGAAACAATTGTATGTAGTACATAATGAAACGAACAATGTGAAAATTCCAAATGAGTGAATTAAACTAAACTAGACTAGACTAAACTGAAACTACTACTATGAGCTAATAACTAATCTTTCCGTGCCTTCAACTCATCAAATTTCCGTGAATAGTAGTCGAGTTGGTCGCAGACTAGATCCATGAAGCCTACCAGGTCACTGTACATGCCTGCGATATCAGCTTTTACATTCGTCAGAGCTTTATCAACGTCGTCCAATCTGAGTAACACGGTATCCATTTTGTCGGTTGTTTCCTCAGGGATAGGCTCAGGATAAGTATTGTAGTGTGGAGGAGTCATAGGGTCTACTTCAGTTTCAGAGGCGGCGTCCTCATAGTACATGTAGTCGTGTGCCTCGGAAATGTGGTCACTGTCATACATATAGTTCTGGGGTGTTGACTGTGGTGAAGGAGGTCCCATAGGCTCATCCAATTCATAGAGCCAGTTATCCTTGTTGTGGATGCTTGTCATCAGATGATCAGG